ACATTACAGAAAACATTCTTTCTATATCCGCCCTGTCAAGACCCCTCAGCATCTTATACGGTTCAATCTAAACACCTCTTTGTCTCACAACTCCAGCAGATCAAAGCCTATTTTGTTCACTCTTTCCTCATAAGGCAACCTGCCACCAATAAAATCAGGCTGATCTCTACCACAGCTTCATGTAAAGAAATTTTCTGTCCAACCTGTTCAGAGATGTTATCACACACTTCTGGAGGTTATGAATCCAGGCCTCCCAGTCTAGGGGTAGGGACACTACCATGTTATTGATCCAAGACATGAAAATTTCACTTGACTCATTCTTTTCAGGAAGAAATTTCTGGATTTCCACTTTTCGTACAAAGTGCTTTCTGATTTCATTTCTAAATTCTTTGGCTCTAATTGTAAAATTATGCCCTGTTCTTCTGGATACCCCAACCAGAATAAGTAATTTATCAGTAATCTGCTGATAAAATTTTAAATATCTCATTTAAATTTTAATCTTCTCAATGCGGGAGAATAGACAAGGCTTATGCAGATTCACTTCACAAATTAACCCTTTAAATCCTGGTATCCTTCCAGTGAGTTCTGCCACCCAAACCTGAAAACAGAACTCTTATAAAGAGTCTGAACAAGTGTTTCTATCATGTCCATCACAAAACCATAAATAGTTATGACCCCAACTGATGGTAATACTGAAGTACTCAGACGCTAATGAGAGATCTGGTTTGGTAAACCGTGTTTCATTTTTGTTTTAGTTTGCTGTGGGGGTCAGTCACTGAACATAATCATAGACAGAAATCACACGACACCAGGTTATAGCCCAACACAATCACAAGCTTTCAGAGCTCTGCTCTTTTGTGAGGACTTCACCTGACAAAGCAGCAGTTTCCCCCAAAGTTTGTGATTTCAAGTAAACCTGTTGGACTATAACCTGCCATCATGTGACTTCTGCCTTTGTCCACCCCAGTCCAACACCAGCACCTCTACATCATGAACATATTCATGAGAGGTTGCCAATGTACTTATATTACAAACGTTTTATACAAAAAAAAACACACAAACATGTTACACTATACAATACCTATTTGCAACAGTATTATTGCAAATATCAGAAAGAAAGATACAACCTATTACTGTGACCACAACAATACAAATGTCAGTGAAGAGTCACTCCACTTTTCACACTAAAGTTTCTTGCTTAGCTGGTATGGTTGGAATTGTTTCTGGAATGTTCTTCTTACTGACTTCTAAGCACCTTCAGAGCAAACACATGGGTTTTCCATAGACTCAGCTTCCAGCTATTTTCTGGCCAGTCTTCTAACTGGTTTAGCATGCCTTCAGACTAACTCACTGCCATTCTGAATATTTCTGTCTCCCTGTCATTGGACATCTTGTTGCTAGGCAACTCAGGATTTTAACCCTAGCCCTGACAACTGGGACAGTTGATAACAGCATCTCTGCTGTAAAGGATCGCACCTCTCTGAATGCATCAGTCTCCATCCGACTGGGCCTGCTCTGAGCTACTTTCTCTCTCTCTGGGTTGTAAACTCAAGTCAGCAATTATCCCCCCAGTCAGCTTGTTGTTGCCTTATGTAAAGATCCTTTTTTTTTCTGACCTCTTAAAAAAGTCAGATCTTCATCAAACTGAAAACCAATCTATTTTCCTTCATTTTAAAGGCTACATTTTCAAACATTAATATATTAGGAACCTTCAGCATCTGTCTTCTTGCAGCCGGTGAGATACTAAGCACTTTTGGGACTGTAGAGGTGAGAGGTAAAAGGAAGGATAATTAGTGAGCTTTTGTAGTTGCTCTTCAGTAACGCCCACAGGTAGCTATAGAACAGCTCTACCATACAAAAGCTTTGGCAATATTTATACTTACATGACTAACCATGCTAAAGTCCAAGGTGCATCTCACTCCATGAGGAAACAATGAGAGGTGCTACAAACACCTATGCTCACTGTTTTATTTGTTTTCACTTTCGGACAGTACTTAGTTATGTAGGATTACCTTGATTAATATCCAAGTAATTCCAACTTAAATTGATGCTGTCTTTCAAGAGGTATATTCAGTCCAAGTTTTATCATTTACAAACTGCAGTATGGACTCAACAGGAGTTAAGAATTAACAGCTTGTATTACATTGCCAAGGTATGGTGAGACATTTGAACTTCAGCAAAGGATAAGGCTTTTTTTATATAGTGGAGCACTAGTAATGCCTGCTAGTTCTACCAACATCAGTTCATGTATAGGAGGCAATTTCAGAGAATAAAAGCACTGGAGACTGAATAAGCACTTTCAGCCCCTATAGCTCAAATCACAGATAGGCAATGTGCACTAGCTCTGCACTAATATCAGAATTGTAGGTGGCTGCAGCAACGTAACAAGGGAACTTGATGAACAAATTTTGCGCTGTTGCAATCAGAACAACAAAACTAGTTGTAAAATGGTTACATTTTGCCGGGGTGGGGGCGGGGTGGGTGGTCTCGCGAGTTATCGCCAACTACCTCTGCATGCACCAAGCTAGATTACATTACCTTTTAATAATCATTCATGAATTCTATGCTCACGGAAACTTGATTTGGACAATTACAAAATCATGGCAAATGGTGAACCACAGGGGTGACAGAATTCTGTTTATGTGTCACACTCCCAATACTTCACTCAAATGTAATTGGCACTTGGACTTACTCACCTACATTAAGTATCTGCATAAACGTTATGTAACAGCAGCAGAAAATAAATCGATTATTCAACTATAATACAAAACTGTGAAACTAATAGAGGTTTTGCAAAGAATGGGGAATCTACCATGTACAAAAAAGCAGCGATAGTATTGATCTAAGGAAATCTGGAAAAATTGATGACCAAAACATTTGCGAGAAACATTTTTCTTCACTGGAATCCTTAGTAATTTGGTGAAAAGAAAACAAAGGCCTTATTAGTGAGAGTACTTTTTGGTTAACTATCAAGATTCAAATAAACACAAAATCTTGAAAACAATCTTAGGACACTTCTATAGGAAACACTGTTCAATTTATAGGAGTAATTTTAATGTCAAAGTTCCAAAATCATAGAAACAGTTAATACACAATTGTTGTTGTATAAATATAACATTCAAAAGAGGAGTTTATTCAAACTGCATTTAAATTCTGCCATAGTTTTCTTTTACAAGATGGCGCTGGCGACAGGAAAGGACATGTTCGGGCTCTGTGCCTGTATGCTCCAACTCACCTGGCCAGTCGCAATTTTTTTTGTTTTGTTTCTTCATTTCTCTTCCGTATCAAAGTTCACTTTTTCTTCTTAACTGCAGCTGAGGCAACATAGCTGTTTCTGCGAGGGTTTGCTGCAGCAGCAGCAACGTGGCAGATCTGGATGTCTGTTCCCCGTGGCCGTAGCGGCTTCATTGAAGGCTTCGATGTCGATGGTTCTGGTCCATTCCTCCTGGTGATGGTGCAGCAGTTTCAGCAGTGGCTACAGCAGTGGCAGTATTCTGGTTCCAGTTCCTTCCTCGTGGCTATGGTAGCTTTGGGTGGCAAATGAAGCGGCGACGGCTTCAGCACTGGCAACTTGGTGGGCCTGGTCTGTCCCTCTTGGCTATGGCAGCGGTTTCGGCGGCAGCATGGTGGGTGAAGTCTGGAAATCCTTGCTTTGGCAGCCTCAGGAGCGTCTTCAGTGGTGGTGTCCCACAGCCACTCCATGAAGCCAGATTGCCATGGAGGGAACAAAAGTTGAACTTTGTCCTAACTTTGTCTCAAATTATTTCTTTTTATAATTTCTGTAATTAAAATAGTGCCACTTTGTGACAACTGATATATATCTCACTGTATTTTCATAAAATACAAGTGACAATAAATTGCTGCTCTATTCTATTTTGACATTAAATATTGCATTATCAATGGATAACTGCCAAAGGAGAATTCAACCTCCAAAAACTGATCTCTCTCATTAGCTTGATGTAATAGATTAGATTTTTCATTTGTGAGCATTTGACAGTATCTGCTAGACTTGTCATTGCACATTCACATTTCTATATTATTTGCAGGACAAGTTGCTGAAAGTGCAAGAATATAATGGCATAGTGCGAAAACTGGGCACTTGGAATTTGATCTGTGTGTAAACATCAGTGTACCTCTTTTAAGCATATTGAGGAATTTTGAAATAAACCATGCAAAGAATGCAAAGAAAATGTAAACTCAATGTCAAATCAGCTACAGAAAGAAAAATGAGGGAAAACGATTGGATTAAGAACAAAGTAGAGTAAAGTAACAAGTGAGTGAAAAGAGCTAGTAAAAATGATTGTAAAATGTCAAATTTCAACCTCCAACAATAATTAATAACTGGCAGGATGAAACACCAGAAACGTTTCAATGCCAGAGAAGCTGGTGGGTACAATGAATGCATTATATTGTCAAGCAAGCACTTAGATTTAAAATAATAACAACATTGTTTAAAACCAAATTTAGTTCATACCTACTGCTCAGACACTAAAACTTACAACATTTGATGGTGAGGCAAAAAAAAAGTGAATGGCAAAACAGCACAACTCAGGCGGGAGCGTTTAGCTATTGCTTTTTAAACCCCCACCTATTCCTCGTCCGTAGATCACATTTGCACATAAACAACCATGAACTGTACGATCATTTTGAGAGTACCCCTGGTCCCAAGAATGAATTCTCATCATAATGAGGCGGGGGGAACCCACCCACACATATAAACATAGCTACACACGTGTATACAGAACAGGCATGTATTAAAAAGTTAAAGGGACTGTAGGCGCTGGATATACTCAGCAGGTCTGGCAGCATCTGTAAGGGGAGAAACAGTTAACAAATAACTCAGTTTGATGTCAGATTTCCAATACCTGCTGTATTTTGCTTTTATTGATTGGTGTTCTGATTTTTAAGAAGCCCAATTCAACTTTTAAAACACTTAAATACTATCATATAAAACAGCACACATACAGCATATAAAATCCTCATAAGGCTTGTGCACCAACCTGGATCTTTGCAAATCAAAAGTGCTGCTGCCCATCTGTCCCTGTTCCAGGTAGTAGTTGGGGACTGATGCCTGCCTTAAGAAGGCAGCAGGCAGTATTCCCTGAGTGAAGGAGTTGATCCTTGCCCTGCTACCGCCGCCTGCAGGAACACATGGTGCGGGAAGAGGGGATGCGGTAGCTCCGCTCGGCTGAAACCTGCGCTCGGCAGCGAGCAGCGCCGTATTGTCCCCCGGAGGAGGGAGCGGGGAAGCTGCAGCTCCAGCTCCAGACCGGACAGGCACTGCTGTCCCACTAGTCCTGGCCGCTGCCCCGTCCTCCTCAGCCTCATCCTGTGTGAGGCGCCCATCCAGAGAGATGTTGGTGAGAAAGCTGAGTGCCGCCTGCCTCCTCCTCGGGTCTATCCGTTTCCTGGTATTAGGCTCGTTGCTGCTGCTGGAATGTAATGCCGAGCTGGGGTGGTTGTTGTTGCTGCTGGTTACAGCCGCCATCCTCCTGTGGAAATGTTGAATGTATTCCAACGCAGCGTGTGTGAATGTGTGTACCTATGCATATAGATAGGAGTTGTTTCTTTCTATCTCGTGCATGTACGTTTATACATTTAAAAGTGTGTGCTCACGCTAGAGAGCTAAACGTGTTAGTGCAGTGCTCAGTGCAAACACTATGCAGCGCTCTGTTAGCCCGAGCAAGCTGGAGGGAGGGACAAGGGGGTGGCGACCAGGCAAAGCGCATGATCCTCAGCCCTTCCCACACATATCGTTGCACTTGTACAGTCAGCTTAAGGCTTGTAGGCTTCTTGCAAACACCATCGTCTGTCTTGACTGGCTAGTGGGAATTTTGTGCAAGGCTTTAGAATGTAAACGTTGCGCGTCCGAAGAAACGGAATCTGCACGGGAACTTCCCTCGGGCGACGCAAACATTATTTTCCGACCAAACGATGTGCAGGATTTCGGTATCCACTCCCTTTGCCATTCCGCTGGCGTCTCCTGCTGGCCGCCTACTTGCGGTTACATTCAGCCGTGTGGGTGTGTGTTTTCTGCTTGGCCCAGACCTGCGAGTGGATTGCAGACAATGTAAATGTTATAATGTACCTTGTGCAAATGCCGAGCTTATACTGTGCACGAACCAGGGACCTAAGGCATTATTCTCACTGCACATGAATTAACAGGGTGGTGTCCACTGGCACCATAATCCCTCTCCTCGTCAGATTTAATGAGCCTTTGAACAAGCAAAGAGCATGTGGCCCTGTGCGTTTGTATCATCACAAAATATATAAATCCTAGCTCCATACGTTCTTGCAACAAATAATTAGCCAATCACAAACGAAAGGGGAAATGTCCACAAATAAAGTTTATTCCAAACTTCAGTGCTCTTACACTGGAGATTTCTTGATTTGGAAGCATTGGCCTACATTCCTATTTAAGGTTTACCGTGCCCTATTTTATCTGTTGTCCTGAATATTTCTTTTTACGTGGTCTCTTAGTTTTCATTCCGCTAAATATTGAATTTCTTGAGCACTTCTTCAGCACCCCCACGGTTACCAGAAATTTCAGCTAAATTACCTGATTTAGTGCTCAACTGAGGAGATTTTATAATCACTGTATTCCTACACTGGAGGGGATGGAAATAGACAACTTTATACACATGATGATTGCTTAGTGATTTCTGTCCACAGTATGCAGGTGCCAGGCAATGACAATTGAATAGCTTGAAAGTATTTTCTGTGTTATTACAATCTTACATTCCCTAAATGAAGTTACTTCTTAGATGCCTCCTTTCGTGGTCGAGAAGAAATATCCGGTTTTGCGGACTGACATGAATAGGCAGTCCTGCTTTTTCATGCTTTGCTGCATAAAGGCAATTTATTCAGATGAAATGATTTGATACTGCTCAATTGTTCGGTTCTTCCATGATCTTAGAGCACATGGACTGCAACGGTTCAAGAAGGCAGCTCACCACCGCCTTCCCAAGGGCAACACCACAGCCCACAAATGAATAAAGAAAACTTTGGCCAGCTCTTGAACGCATCCTTATGTTTTCAGTGCCTACGGCTGCTCACACAATGCAAAGATGGCCATGATTTCCTCTGACTTGCACTGTTCTGAATTTATTGTTTGATATTTTGTTATTTTTTCCATCTATCGGATATGGGCTTTGCTGTTTGGGGCAGCATTTAAGGAGCGATGATAGTGAGTAGCTGTGAGGGGAGTTTCTAGGTGGTGATATTATCTTATCTCTGCGACTCTTGTCCTTCTAGATGGTACTGATCATGTGTTGGGAAGTAGCCTTGGGAATTTCACAGTGCATCTCGTGGATGGTACGCTGCTGCTTACTGTGTGTCTGTGCTGAAGGGATTGAATGTTTGTAGATGTAGTGCCAACAGAGTGAGTTAATTTATCCTGGATGGTGTCAAGCTGCTTGAGTGTTGTTAGAGCTGCACTCATCCAGATAGGTTGGGAATATTCCATCATGCTCCTGAGTTGTGCCTTTTAGATGGTGAACAGGGATTGAGAAGTCAGGAGATGAGTTACTCACTGCAGGACTCCTAGCCTCTGACCAGTTCCTGTAGCCACCGTATTTATATGACTAGTCCAGTTCAGTCTTTTGTCAGTGTTAACTCTTATGAATTTTAATTTTGGGGGGGAATTCAGCAGTAGTAATACCATTGAATGTCAAAGGATGATGGTTAGTTCTCTCTTGTTGAAGATCGTCGTTGCCTGGCACTTATCTTGTGCAAATGTTTCCTGCAAGTAGTAGGCCAAACTTGGATATTTTCCAGATCTTGCTGCATTTGGAAATGGACTGCTTCAGTATCTGAGGAGGCATGGGTGGTGCTGAACATTGTGCAATCATCAGTGAACATCTCCACTTCTGACCTTATGATGGAGGGGAGGTTATTGATGAAGCAGCTGAAGATGGTTGGGCCTAGAACACTACCCTGAGGAACTCTTGCAGAGGTGTCTTGGAGCTGACATGACTGAATTCCAACAACCACGAATGTCTTTCTTTATGCCAGATATGATTTTAACCAGTTTTCCCTCTGATTCCCATTGACCCCAGTTTCGCTAGCACTCCTTGATGCCACATTTAGTCAAATGCAATCCAGCTGTCAATGGCAGTCACTCTAAACCTCATGTCTGGAATTTAGCTTTTTTATCCATGATTGGAGCAAGGCTATAATGAGGTCAGGAGCTGAGTGGGCCTGGCAGTAGACAAACCGACCATCAGTGAACAGAGATAGTAGGAACTGCCGATGCTGGAGAATCTGAGACAACAAGGTATAGAGCTGGATGAACACAGCAGGCCAAACAGCATCAGAGGAGCAGGAAAGCTGACGTTTCAGGTCGGGTCCCTTATTCAGAAATGGGGAGTGGGAAGGGAGCTCAGAAATAAATACAGGAGGGGTGGGGCTATGAAAATACAGCTTGATAGCACTGTTGATGATGCTTTCCATCATCTTACAAGTGATCGCGACTGGACCAATGGAGCAGAAATTGGCCGGGTTTGACTTGTCCAGCTTTTTATGTAGAGGACCTATCCGGGGCAATTTTCCTCATTGATGGGTAGCTTTTTGTGTTTTCGTTTCTGATTTCCAACATTCACAGTTTTCTGCTTTTGTATTGAGTGTGAGAATCACCTCAAGGTATTCTTTTGTTGTAAAACACCATCACCAGACATCCTGGCTAACAGTCATGCATACATTATGGTGTTTCTGTGGCCAGATAACTTACAACCTTTACCTCTACTTGAATGAGAAGGATGTGTGCAGGTCATTGTGCACCAGATAGCAAAACCTTGTTGCATCCGGTTTTGTGAAGTGTGGGCGTTCAAGATAGGTCCCATCTGACAAATCAAGGTCCAAGTCACAGGATAGTGATGAGGAGGAGGGCTAAAACCTCACAGGAGTCAGTACACTTACATCTTTTGGAAATTTGGTAATTCTCTTGCTCAGTTTTTTCATTGTAATGTACTCCGAACCTTGAAGGAACTATTTATTCTGAGAATATTGTGCTTTTCAATTTGAAAGCTATCTATACTGATAAGGAAAGACACATCAGAAACCAAAAATAAAAAACTATTCGATGAAGCAACTGGTGCATGCAATAAAGTGCAACAATAAAAATTTAAAAACTAAAAATAAAATAAATTATCTGCATCAAAGGTCTCTAAGTGGAATCTAAGTGATTTGGGCTATGGTGAGATTTGTGCCAGATTAGATAAGAAGTCTGGTGATGTCCATTTTGACATTGGGAGCATCATGCTCTACCCTTTATGCCTTTGACAAGCAACAAGGCAAGTTACCAATTAATGGGGGTCCCTGGTACTGTGAGGATTGGATACCTTCAAGTTAATTAAAGTCAACACTGGTAAGAACAAAGAATATCTCAAAAAGGATTCTGTAAAATGAAAGTGAGGATTTTCAGGTGTTATAATGAGTGAGGATTCAGACTTTGAAAGATTCAACAAGATCGTTTGGAACTGAAAAAGAAGATGAAATGCAATGTGCCCGTCATGTGGAAAGGGGTTACAATAGAGACTGGGGATGACTTCCCAATTTATTTATTTCTTCAGTGAATTGCAGTGTGGGAGGTAACCATACATCTCCAACGGTTCGTCTGGATGGTAACCACCTCCAATCAATGTGGCCTACTGCCATCGGCTATCCTGAAGTTTTATTTTTATTTACCAATCCAAAGGCACTTTTCATGTTGATGCAGCCTTGGTGTTTCCTGCCTGTGATGCTGCTGAAGTTTCAGACTGCCAGACCCTTGATTGGGCCAGCAACATGGAAAACCCATCCACCTTGATTGGACATGCCCACGACTGGCTAAGTAACAGATCACCTGAAATAAAATCCCCGAGCCAGGCCTGCTCTCGGCAAATGTCAGCATTAGCCCTGATTTTCACTGTTACACTGAGGCACCATAACCTGTGGTAATACATGACCCTTTGCATCTGTTTTCATTTTCTGTTATATATAAACGACTAAATGACTTCAATATCGAAATGCAAAGTAAAATATCAACATTTTCTGATGATACAAAACTTGAGGGTGGGGCAGACAGTGAGGATAAGATCAATCACCTGCAACAAGACATCAACACAGGTGAGCAGAATGCGCAGGTAAGAAGCAGATGGTATTGTTTAAAGAAGTGGGAAGTAATGTATTTGGCAGAAAGGATAAGGTGAGAAAGTACAGACTAAATAGCACAGTTCTAAAAAATAAATAAAAACAGCCTGACCTGAGACAGATATGTAAAGATGTTTGAAGATAGCAAGTCATATTGTGAGAGTCATTAGTGTAGCATATGGGATCTTGATCTTGGTAAATCAAGTATTGGGTATGTATTATGTACAAAAGCAAGGAAAGTATAAAGCTGTGGTGATGTCAGAACCAGAGTACAATGTTCAGTTCTGGTCACCACTTATTTGAGAGAAAGTGAGGGTCCTTGAAAGGGTATATAGGAGATTTACCAGAATGGTTCCAAGGGTGAGGGATTTTAGCTACAAGGTTCAGCCCCACATCCCCCCCCACCTCTCCCGCACACCCCCCGGACCTGTCTCACTTACCTGCTGGAGTAGCAGACTTACAGCACAGACTTCCAGGACCCCAGATGCAGGAAATCTACAAGGAAACGGGGAAACCGTGCCGCCCTGAAGGG